ACAGGTTTACGCAAACTTTAATTTTGCGTAAATCTCCATTTTCATGCTGTGGCAATTTCGAGGGTGTTACGCCAAAACGTGAATGGTTGATAAAAGTAACATCTGTCACAGTAACATGTGTAAGCCTGAAGAAGGCTGGTATGGCCAGCCGAAATATTGTTATGAAAAAGCAATGCACGTTGTTCTGAATTGGCTTTGCAGTAGTCCTTGGACTTCTCGTTCTTGATAAAAGCAGCATGAGTTAAGAAGTGGACCGGAGTTTGCAGCCAGGCGAACTCATAACGCGAGCAATACCTGTTACTCTAAGGTCCTCTTAACTTTTCGATCCGGAGCTGGATTTTATTGCAGTATAGGTTTAATGGATATCAGCAAAAGTTTTTAAAATTTTTAAAATACCGATTTCAAAACATTACCTCTAGTTTGTGGAGACTTCCCCAGGGTTTCCAGAGCCCCGTTTCTCGAAAATCCCGGTAACTTTTCGGGCCCGAAATCAAATATTTAAATGGAAATATAAAGAATAGGAGCGCCTGTCCTGGCTTGCAAACTACTTCATTTTGTTTCATTAACTGATTGTTTTATCATGTTAGATGCAAAACTATTGAAACCTCAATCTTTAATGTAAACGGAGACAGCTTACCGGTCCCGTTAATTATCGAGACTTTCGAGAAACGGGTGACTTGTGTTTTACTCGCTTCGGGGCCTTCCATCTGGAAGTCAGACATGGCAGACATCGTTTCAGGCGTTTTTTCATTTTTTTCCTTGTTATTTGACATGTACACCAGAAGAAAAATCGTGAACAAGGCCAAATATATTTTCATTTGTCTCGCATGTTTTGGTTTTACCTGTATTGCTCGCAACCTTGTTTCGGAAGAATTGCTTCGTCAAGTCTTCATTTGACTGAAAAGTTTTTTAAATTATGTTTTCGTTAAAGTTTAAAATATGATAGATATAATATGATAATTTTAATCGCCTTTTTAAGCTTATGTGGGCGTTCTTCATTGTCTATACTCCGCACCAAACTTCTTCCGCTCTTTAATAAGTTTAATTTCTTATAACTGTCTCCAGCAAGTATGAATTCAATTTATTTCTCCTTTCGAACTCATTTTTAGGGGTTTACGCGTTTCAATTAATTTTTAATAACACAGCATCACAAAGTTAGAAATGAAAACTGACGTTTGCTAGTCGCTTGATTAATGGCTCAAAAACGAAGGTATCGAGCCAGTGTGTCTACTCCCATGAATAAAAACAATTTCTGTTCAGCTGACAATGGTGCCTTCACTTTGATCCTCTTCTCCATTCAGTGTATATTAGAATTTAAAACGGCTATTTTAAGCCGAAACTTATCCACAGTCGCAAAGAAACAGGACCCATGCATTTTGTGCGCGTGAAGCAGGTTCTGATGTTGATATTAATAAACTGACTTGATAGTCTCCTGAATAATAATAATAATAATAATAATAATAATATTAGTAACAATAATAATAATAATAATTATTATTATTATTTTAGTAATAATAGTGATGATAATATTAATTCAAAGGAGTATTTAGGAGAGGTTTTTAGATCTGTTAATGAGCTGGCACTTAGTACATGTTCGGCTGTTCCTTGTATTTTATACTCGATAAGACGCACTTACTAGTTTATGAAACTTTCAAAGCCTGCTGTTACAACTACTTTTTATTAAGTTACAACTACTTTTTATTAAGAGTGCCACAGTTCTTTTGTTTTTCTCTCTAGGCCAAATATAAGGTTCTTTTTTATGAATTATTTGACTTTGGGCTTGTTCATTTTACCGTTCAATGCAGTCAGTTGTTTAATAAAACTTAAGAACACAATGCGTGATAACTAGTTTTATTTCCTTAACTCTATACTACGCAATTTTGACATGTTATTTACTTTCTTAATGGATTCTCTATGAATTTGCGAAGAAATAGACTTTGACGTTTGACGTTTTAGAAGGCAGTAATTAAGGCAGTTACCTGACATTAACCTGCATATTTTATGGACAATTGCGTTTATTTGGATTTTGATTAATAGAAATGGTTTAATTTTACCTTTATTGCAGATGCGTCGTATTTGTTTTGACGCTATTAAAACAAAAGGAACATCATCAATAGTTGCTATCGTTATTAGTAAAATCCAACTAGTGGTCTATTATCAATGCTGCGTTCTGATTGGTTGAGCTACTAGTAAGCTATGTGGACTCGAGGAATAATTGTTAACTAACATCCTTTGATCATATATATACAGAGTTGAGTTCACCTGGCCATGGCTGACTAGTTTGATTATGATGAGAAACGGAACAACAGTGGTATAAGCAAGTGTTTCGAACGGTATATAGGAACAAAGGTGGCACAATTTTCCTCCCGCAATTAACCAAACACAGAAGAATCCCTTCTGAACTGTACGGACAACGTATCTTCCTCCCCCAATGAAGAACTGTACCTTACCGAAGTGGGAATTTATTCTATTGTTGAACGTTCATGGATTTATCACAATC